TGTGTCTTGGTCAGACCCTTGACAATTTCCGCTCACAAAGTTGCAAGCTCGACTTTTGGAGGGGCGGGTGGCGAAAATGCACGATGCTATACGAGGCTAACATCTGCGCCTGGTGCGTGTGTGAGTGGCTTTACTGATCTTCAAGCCATGCCTTGACTGCGAGTGGGCAAGAGGATTGACTTCATCGAGCTTGCCAAGACAGTACAAGATCTCCATCAACAGCTCTGTGTGTTGAGGGGCTTCTGGCTTTGCCTATTTCACGGTGTGCCGACGTTCATGTAGGTTGGCCAAGATAATTTTTTGGGAGCAGTCCCAACCTTTTTTTGATTCTTGACAATTCAGAGTGTGCAGCAGGATTGATGTTGCAACATGTGGGCATGAATCAGCCCTGAGACGCCTTAAACCCTCTTTGCACGCATTGCATTGCAGATCCTATGGGCGTAGATTCCATGTTCTGCAGCGTAGCCATACATGCAAATCCTATACAAGCCCTGCAAGTGCGTTGAAAGACCACGAAGCAGTGCTGAAACATGCCCATGATCTGACAGCCCTGGTCATTGATGAGTTACCAGGGTGGCCTTCAGACGCGGGGTGAAACCAGTCGCACCTTCACCCCAAATCCATGCCCAAGCGTACACTCATCACGACTCGGGCTATAGACATCTGCACTCTCAGAAGTTCCGCCTCCGCTCTACTTATCCCAGCGTCCACACTCAAACCCTCAAAGTAACCCTATCAAGTTGCCGAGATTCAGTTTGCGCAGAGGTTCTTGGAAGTGAGTTCTTTATGGTGGGTTTGACAGGTCATAGCCTTGTGCGGACCTTGCATTGCCGTGCACGCCCGGGGGGAGAGCGGAACAGCAGTCTTATCTCCGGCGATGAAGGGAAAACTCGAAGCCCGACCAGCCCGTTGCATGCAATCGCTACAAGTGACCCAGTGGGCCTCCAGGTTATGAAAGTTGGATAGGACATGAACAGAGTTATCTACAGAACGATGGGACTGAGATGATGCAAGCAGTAAAGACAACTGTCAAAGAGAGCCATCCAGCCCAGTCCCACCGCCAACTCCCGAAAGCTTCAGACCGCTTTGAAACTTCATGTGTGAATCTGCGTTTGGGTTGAAGGATTTTGCCTTTGAGGGGATTTGCATCCCGCCCGAATGAATCGGCCACCCTGCAGTGGGGTGAAACGATCCAGCAAACGAAAGCTCTGAATGTCATGACGCTAGCTGCTGGCACGCCCAGCTTCCGAAGAAGCCTACCTCCAATGCCCATCCCATGAAAAGGTCCCTATACTTCGTCTCTATAGAGAACAGCATGTACTAATTTTCCTGATGCGATCTCGTGCTCACGATGTTGAAGTCGCCAGATACACCAACAGGTCGGCGGCAGCCAAAGGGCGGAGGAAACTCAAAGGAAGCTCATTCCACGGGATAGTAACCTGCAAGCTCGGGGGCTAAGCTTTTGTTCCGGACCTTCAGCCTATCATAATCAGGACATGTACAAAAGGAGGTTCTTTCCGAATCAGGGTAGTCAAGACAAGTACCCGTTTCAAAACCTGATAAGTCCGCCCTCTGTAGCAGGACTTCCTATTTAAATGAGGCTCAGCGGTTCTTTGAAGGTTCCATGCAACAGCATAGAGCCGGGAAGTTCATGAAGTGCCAGCGCTCAAACCCAGCCAAGAAGAAACTGGATGAAGCACAGGCCCGACAGGGGTTCCGGACCCATGTATGCAAGCAGATTATGTGCACAATTCAACTTGTTCAAATTTCTGCTCGAGCACCCAGACCCATGAACCGTTCTCCGATGCAGGCGGAGCGGCTGATGACTCCGACCATCAGATAGACCATCATCATCATGGCCTTGGGTCATCTCGTTCGTCATCGTTGCTCTAGCTTAAGACTGGGGCAGCGGACACTGAGGCTTGCGTTTAGTTGTCGGCCTTTCAAGCATTGGGCACAGGCTCTTCGCAGTCTACTACTAGAGTCGAGGATACTGCGTGGCGTACTACTATACGTGGATAGAGTATCGGATAGTGCTCCCTCCCTGATGCTTCCTTCAATAATACAGCTCCCCACGTCATACGATCATGTGTCCACGAATCCAAGGCGCTCTGCTACTTGTGCTTCCCAAACCTAGACAGCACTTCTCTCGCAGAACTGTGTCACTGCGCATGGCGGAAACCACAGCCAGTGCCTTGGCGGTAGTGGTGGTAGTAGTAGTAGTAGTAGTAGTAGTAGTAGCAGTAGTTGAAGCAGTAGCAGTAGCAGTAGCAGTAGCAGTAGCAGTAGCAGTAGCAGTAGTAGTAGTAGTAGTAGTAGTAGTAGTAGTAGTGGTAGTAGTCGTAGTAGCCGTAGCAATACACAGTTTACGGCAGGTCGCCCCGTGGAGCCAGTTCGACGAGCCGTGCTGGAGGATCTGCGCCACTAGGAAGGTGCCCAAGAGCATGACTGCAGAATCGTACCTGGTTGGGGCTTAAAGTTTCGGGTATGGGGCCTTGCCTGATAAGTGCTTCGTTTCTGGAGCTTTCAGTTTGTAGCGCCACGAGCCGTTCGTACCCGATGCTTCCTTTCGGGAGCTACACGTCTGGTTGGATTCGAGAAGGGAGATCGAAGGTCATGTCGGAACTGGATAGCGCTTGCCTGTTTGACTCCTACTGTAAGAACCTGATTAAGAAACCCTGGCCCTATAACCCCAAAGTAATAGGATTCATATAAAGAACCCCAATAAAGGCCCAGGGTTTCTTCATCAGGTTCCTACCTGTAGTCTCCATTGTAGTTCCTTTTTTGGGTTTAACCAAGTAAAAAATAAGGATTTTAAAAGGCATCCCCAAAAAGGAACTACAAGGGAGACGAGAGGTATAATATTACCGGTGCCAAAACATCCCTTCTTTGAACGGGTTCTCTCCAAAGTGCATCCCTAAAACCTTTTTTTTTGAACCCAGACTCTGCCAATAAAACCTAAAGCCTAAACCCTAGCCATAGGCCCCATAGTAATTCCTTTTTGGGATTACCTTATAGGGTTCTAAATATGAACCCCCAAAAGGAACTACTATGGGGCCCCTCTACAGTAGCTCGTTGGCGCCACACATCGCGGTGCACTTTAGCCCCAAGGACGTCTGAAGGTTCAAAGGGGCCAGGCCCCTGCACCCGAAACCCTACACAAAAACCCTGAACCCTAAAAACCGTGAACCCTAAAAACCCTAAACCTTAAAACCCCAAACCCTAAAAGCCCACTTTAAATCCTACACCCCCAAAGCAGGAGTCCCTAAACCCAGCCCAGAACCGGGAGAGGCTCCCGCTGAGCGCTTTGCAGTTTCAGGTCTTTGGGCTTTGGGGTTTTAGGGTTTAGGGTTTAGGGTTTAGGGTTTAGGGTTTAGGGTTTAGGTTCGCTCCGGGTTTACAGGCCATTGGCGTTTTGGGGTCTGCGGCCTTTCGGGCACTGCCAAGTAAAGGTTTCGGATGTCTGGACTTGACAACTCTTGCAGTCCGGAAGAAGTGAATCCTCCAATCAGCAAGGCAGGTATAATGAGCTTAGAAAACAAGATCTTCAGGGTTTCAACCCTCGACTTTCACGGGCGAGGGTGGAGGACTTCAGAAATTCTACTTTGGTGTTAAAAATCTAGTGCTTCGTGTTTAGGGGCAGGTCACAACTCGGAGGTTCAACACTTGAGATTTATCCTGCCCTCTGCCGTTTTGGCTGAATGCTGCCGGGGTTCATGCTAAAGTTCAAGCTCATGGGCCGGTCGAAAGCCCAGCCGTAAATGACGGAGAGGGGCACGACCTTGGTGCCGGGTTTTCTTTCCCAGACCCACCCGACACCCAACAAGGCCGAAGCCCAAGTACTGGCTGTGCAGAGAGGAGAAGCAGAAGCAGTGAACATCCCTGCCCCCTCCTTGATGTGCGGGCACCCGACGACTCTTGCGAGTACTACTCGGACCGGATTTCTCGTAGTCATAGTGTCGACTACTTTGGGCAGTATGGCCATTATTACGCCTACCAATACTTCTACATCCCCGACCTGAAACTTCAAAAACCCGAGACAACCTCAAACCTGGCATTGCCCGCCATGTGGCGAACAGGGCGATTTGCAAAGCAGACCCCAGGGCAATCGCGATGGAGGTGTCCATTTCATCCTTCGGGGATGACTTCGGGTGTTTTAGGAGCTACCTGTCGTCCATCTCTTTTGACCAGCTTGTCGATAGTATGGTTTAAGACTCTCTTCTTCAACAACCAGGCTAAGAAGGTCCTAACTTTTTAAAGATAGGTCCAACAGATCGGGACAAAAAGTTTAAAGTTCTCCCCATTGGCGATTATCTAAGAAGAACACAGCCAGGCATGAAGGAACGGACTAAAATTCAGGGTCTAGGTAGACTGCTGGGAGCCATTCAACGATGCTGGTTTCGGCTCTTGGGATTCCGGGTGCCAGAGTTGAGGGTATGAAGGCTACTGTTGTGGTGACAGGGGAGGCAAACAGTGCCGCAGGACTGCAGGGCTACAGCCCTCAAAAGGTCCACTGAGCCCCAATTCATTTAATTGTGTACAAATCGGTCCTGAGACCTTCGCATCTCAACGCAGAGGCTGAAAACACATGAGGATGGATGCTCTTTCGCTCTTTCTAGCCAATGGAATATAAGCAACAAGGCGCAGCTTCCCACAAGCGCCTGTGCTGCCAGACCGTCAAACAAATAGGAGCGCCGTGGTTGAAAAGAGAAACTTGCAGGAACTTGCGACCATTTTGTGAAGCTCTGCTTGGTCATCTCCCGACATATACTTACAGTCTTACCACAACACTGTCAGGAACTATGCCACGGTGTACCCCTCTATCAGCACGGACACACTGTGTACTGGCTGCCCCATCCACCACAGGAAGGCCTAAATGCTACAGTCTGGTTTCCAGCAGCTTCGTTCTCAATTCCCCTTCCGGTTCACTCAACCCCCCAAACCGCGGAACAATGAGAATGGGGCTTCGGGGTATATTGGAATATAAGTCACTTTCAACAGTCCATATAACAGTACTCGTAATTGTCAGGACCCTATGTTGCTCTGGAAATCCGAGGGAGCCCGAACGCGCTTCCTTCATCGCATGGCTGACAGATGCGACATGTTCGGCGGTGTTTCCTCAGCTCTGGATTTCGAGTCCGCCTGTTCAAGGCTGTAGAAACAGAAGCTTCGGTATTATGTATATTATACTATATTATATTATATTATATTATATTATATTATATTATATTATATTATAGCACTTTCATTCGGTATTATGTTATAACATCTGATGTACTGTGAGGATAGACTACTGGCTGCAGGCTGTTACGAGACAGGTTTGGGTTGCCCAACACCACCAACCCCACTAAATCCTAAACCATTCACCCTTCTATATCCCTGTAGTCAGAGACCCTTGAGGAGCCTGAGAAAAATGAGCGGTTACGACGAACAGATGACATAATAGAATTGGGCTGAAAAGTTATACTCGGTAACTTGCCGAAAGCAACCACGACACTTCACGGTCCTCCAACAAAACAATCATTACACCCCGCGCCCAACTGCAACACTATGTTTTGGTTTGGCAGCCACCAACTCAACTGAGTCACCAAGAATGGGCAGCATCGTGGCCCCGATAAACTGCAAGGGCACCTGGAACTTCTTGGACAAGTCCTCGGCAATGGGAGTTCAGACTTCAGGGGCCTACGGCAGGTGGTGTAAGGTTCAGCTGCAAAAATTGGGGGTTCAGCGTTTTAGGAAACATAGACAAGACAGAAGCTAATCTAACCACTTCTGGTCGCCCTTGAACATGCTTGATGCCTAGGAGGCTGAGAAGTGGCCATGCGTGGTTCCACCATCCGATACCACCTGCATGCTGAAGGCTACATGGTCGTCGTGCATGTCCTCTTCGCCGTGAACTTATTGCTTGCAAGAGATGAGCACAGACACTTTACGTATGCCGCGCTTCCAACGCAGCCTCTTGCAAATTCACCCCCGGAACACGATACAAGCTACCCTAAACCCTTTTCAGCACGGACTGAGGTGCCGACCAGCGCCTGTGCAACCCCCACCCACCCTAAACCCTAAACCCTGAACGCGCACAGCTAAGGCCCCACAAGCAAGACACCATGCGGCTGCATGCCATCAGGCAAAGCTAAGGCTAAGGACGTCATGCTCCGAGAGAGTTTGCCATTTGGGAGGGTTCTTCCCTTCTCAAGGTACCCTTTGATGGACACCTAGGCTCATAGGTTGCAACTAAACGAGGACCCCCCCTCGAAGACGACCTCATTAATTTGGAATGACTCTGCCCCATGTCATGTTCGTCAGACTGTGCAGGACAGATGCAGTGGAGTACATTATTGTCACTAGCCAAGAACCCTAAACCCTAAACCCTGAAAAAGGTAAGTTTGCAAACGTCGGGTTCAGAGTGCCACCTTCAAGCGCCGCACAGACTGCACGCAAGCGCAACGTGAAGATCTCATCAGTCAAGGAGGAAGACAGACATGCATCATAATGCAGGATAGCATCTAGGATGTTGTCGACGAGCACTTGCCTGGGCTTAGGGTTCAGGGTGTAACCCTAAACCCTAAACCCTAAACCCTGTGGGAAACGCGATCTGGCGTCTGACATCCGAAACCCCAAGCTGCTGAGCCCTCGAAGTCTCTCAAGCGATGTAAGCTGAAGTAGGCAGCTATACCGGGTTTAGGGTTTAGGGTTTAGGGGTTTAGGGTTTAGGGTTTAGGGTTACCCTCTCCTCTTTTTGTTTTCTCTCTCTCTCTATGCATATACAACTTTTTGTATATGTATATATGAATATATGTACACGCCCTAGACAAGGGCGGGCAGGGAGAATCATCCGAGCTGCGAGTTCAGAGTCGTGATCACAATGCTGGAGATCATCAGGAAGATAGAAGAGCCGAGCGATAGGCGACCTGAGACTAAACCCTTTAAACCCTAAACCCTAAACCCTAAACCCTAAACCTCAAGCTAGGTTCTGGTTGAGGGAGGGACTAGGGGCTACCTGGACCCTGAAGCACCTACCTTTTTAGGGGATCTTTATTATGATTATGGTTTAGGGTTTGGGGTTTAGGGTTTAGGGTTTAGGGTTTAGGGTTTAGGGTTTAGGGTTTAGGGATCTTTATTATGATTTCTTTATGTAAGTCCTGAAACAGATAGGTTCTTAGGGGTTAAGGTATGACCTACACCTGACATGTTCTGAGTGAAACAGGACTGGAGCACGTGAGGCAGGTGTGGATTGAATCAATCATTGGCATCTCGGCCTGAAAACTCGTCTTAAGATTTAACCGGCGGGAGCTGACCCATGACACCCGGCAGCTAAGCAACAGCCACATCTGCACTTGCGACCCGACGAAGTCACATGAACAGAACAGATTATTGGCGCTGGTCGGTAGCATGCTTGCTCATGTGATCCTCCTGCATGGAACGAGGCCAACGGCGCCAACAGCAACAAGAACAACCAGTAGAAGACCAAGAATGGCATTGTATGTTGTTGCCTGCAAGGGCAATGATTCGACACCATCGTGTATGTCTTGACAGTAGACGTCAAGCTACCACATCTGCATAAAACGACCACCACAGAATCCCTCAACCCTGAAACCGAAGAATCCCAACCAAGCCATCCACGGGTGAATAGCAGGATTTGCGGCAAGTTCAACTTGAGGTTCTGTGTTGTCCTCAACTGCAACCACCACCCCAATGTGTATATATATATACACATATATAGATATGCAAATCTATATATATATATACATATGTGTATATATACACATGTGTGTGTTTCTATGTATGTATATATATATATATGCTAGCCCC